ATCTCCGAAAAAATACCTCTTCTTGTTACTTTGTGTTGATAGCTTTCTGAGTAATCTATATTTTGATCGTGTTCTAAAGAAAGCACGGGATTCTTAGATCAATGCTATCGGTAATGAGTTCTGATTGAAGCGTTGCACGTTGTCATTCCTTGTGAAAATTATGCGTTTTTCTTCACATGTTTAGTGCAGTGTACAGACTTGAGGCAAAATCAGATAAGAACTTAATGATCCATAGTGGTTTCGGATCAAAATGTTAGGTATTATGATTGAAATATCGAAGACCACTCGCGTAGAAGAGAACGCGCAAAGAATTTTATGCGATAAATAAAATTATAGACATGAACTATCAAATTTAGGCTCGAAGACGAACAGATGTGATTTGAAAGCAGGGACATATTTGTGACGTCAGCAAGTTGTATCTAATTTATTCGCAGTAAAAACGCTGGAAAAAAAACTCCCAAATACATTTTACTTTCTAGAATAGTTGGGCGATCTGCCTGCACGAATTATGCGGAACCCAGCACATTGTTCACTCGTTTCTTCTTTTCACGATCATCGTTTACTGGTTTGATTGAAGCATGGCGGCTTGCGCGAGTTTCTAGCCGTGATGGGTTAAATATCGGCAGCTGCGAGTGCAGCTGATTGATTCTCTAACGAACACGTCCACCTAACCTCTAGGTGGTCGTTCTCGAGGGCTAGTGTGTTCACGTGAGTACACTATACAGCTTGTTCAGCCCATTTGTCATCTGATCTTCTGACAGTATGACCGGCCTATCTCTGTTTTGTGATCGATGTTAATTCTCCTGAATTGCGAAGATAAGATGATTTCGAAGGTTCGAGCTACGCAAGCCAGCTGGATGTTGCAAGTGCCGACGGAATTTTGAAGGATGTCTTTTAAGCGCTCTGTGAGTTGTTGGCAGTAGTTTTGACGTGGTCGAACTATCAGCCCACGTTTCTGCTGCATTGCAAAGCGCTGGGACGACTGTCGAATCAAAAAGGTGAGCGCGTCGTTTTGGTTCCCCTCATCTGGTCGGTGGCTTCTTTGAGAGGCTGGAATGCGACAACGCTACTTTCCTTTTTCTGCCAAGTACCTCCTTCATGTTGTTTGCCATGTTCAACGAACACCTAAATTACAACACGTACGAGGTGGTCTACACAATCGGAGAATTGTCTAATTCGTGTTGTTCATCATTGCACCATAGGCTTTTATGAGCTGGGCTTCCATGCAATTTATGCGTATTTCGGTCTTCTTTCTGCATCATTGAGTTTCTTGAGTTTCGTCTCTATTTCGCTATTGTTTTTCGAGAATAAGAAAATTTTGAATGTCGTCCACGAAACGAAAGTTTGACAGGAATTTTTCATCAATACGCATGCCCATCTCGTCTCAATCGAGCGACTTCCACACGAAGTGGATCTACTGCAGAGCATCGTTGAACAGCTTTGGCGATATCATATCGCCTTGTCGAACCCCTTTTCAATGGGTTTGATAACAGGTTGATAAAAAAGCTGTATTTTTGTGATACAGTTCCGATAACAGTCCGATAAAGTTCTTATGTAGGACTGATCTACTTCTTGATCGACGAGTGCTGATGAGACTGCATTTGTTTCGACGCTATCAAATGCCTCTTCATAACCGGATAAGGATCAACGGCAAATGGTATTCGCCACAAACTTCTATGACTCTCGAAACGATTTGGATGTGGTCCACGCAGCAGATTCCCTTTCAAAACCCTGCTTGCTCAACTGGTTGCTCCTCATCCTAAGTTCTTGATTTGCTCTGCGTCGCACACAAGGTCGATGGTTTCATCTCGCGCTCATGGCTTATCAAGCCATCCATCCCTCCGAGGTGTAAATTGTACTATACTTGTACGGATAATTAGCAGAGCTGACGTGATTGAGCGGTAACCACCGAGAGTCATTTTAGAGGTCAGATATGCATTCAACCACCTCAAACAATGACATATTCGAAGACGAACCCATAGTGCATCCCTCAAAGGTATATAAGTAATTGGTATGAAAATTTATCTCCATAATGCAACATCACAAAGTCTCTTCGACTTTCAATGAAGTCACAATTTATAAAATATCCTAATGATTGGGAACATCGAGAGTAGTTCATAGAGCGGAGTTGCATTGCAATCTGCAACATCATTTGCTGACAGGCAAGCCTTGTTATGTAATTGTTTCGGCATGTTTCAACCTGAAATAGCCATATTAAGCTCTTATAATTCTAATTCCATCTTTTACTGATGACGAAGTCACTTTAAGTAACAAAAAAGTTTGTATCATTCAGAAACTACTACCCTAGAAAGATTACGTGCTAAAATCACAAGCTCGATCTCACCAACAGCCGCGCAAGCGACGGCGTGGCGCCGCCCGCCTGTCGACGGGAGCCCTCAAAGGGTTAATGGAGTGTCGTGCTTGAACATAGGACTCAGTATTTGACAATGTATGCTTGGATTAAAGATCAAGCGTAGCAAAGTATCTAGGAAATCAGTGCTCTGTACCGAAATTGTTGCTTTTGCTCTTTGGGCACTTGGCTAATTATTTTGAACATGATCTATTGTAGTCCTTCTGCTTCAGTGAAACGAAAACATTCTCTAGAAATTCATCTTGTGCCTCGGCATTCATTTCCATAATTGCTTATTATGAATTAAAGCGGATTACATTCCTCATCGCATCATCTTCCGAGTCACCTGTCCCTGAGGAAGCACTAGGCTCGTGATGATTTCTCTTCGAGTATTGTTCCATTACGCAGTGCACCAGCAGACGGTAACTTTTGAACTGGAAGCAGATTTGATATTAAAGTTCAGCATATGTGATACACCACATTTCATTCAGTCTATCGCGAAAGCTCTGAGGTTCTTGTAATTTTCGTCTCAGACTGCTTCTTTTCAATGGTTTAATGAAATGAGCATGGTCTCACTCTTGAAGAGCGAAGCGACATAAAGGTTCAAAAATCGTTAACCCCTGAGGAACCGCTATAGGAATTGATGATCATCGAGCGAATTGAGCGATTTTCATGTTTTTCTCCGTTTTGCAAAAATTTTGGAACTCTTGTATCACTCTGACACAACACAATCTTGTCTATTCTCTCATATGCTTTTGGTTCAGATACATGTGTCATGTACATAGAAAAACGCTGGTTTACTAAGCAGTCATATTGAATTTGAAAATGAATCAATTATAATGAATTGTACATAGGGAATCATAATAAAATCTTCCTTAGTTCTGTACAAAATCCAAGAGCCATCCTAGGCAGCACAATTCGGTAAACAATGAGTGATTGATCAAAATTGATCATGCATGTTACGATCGATACGGCGCCGAGTGAGGGTCTTACTATTCCAAATTTTCGATACTACAACGTACTAAAACGTTTTCTAAAAATTGAACATATCGTTGAAAACGTAGAGATTTGTGCTTTCGAATGATTAAGAATGTCCGAGAGAAAACTCGGTCCTTTCTGATCAGGAGGAGACAACAGAAAACCGACCTCATTTGCTGGAGAGGAACTTTTATAGGAGTGGTAGTAACCATTCGAGAGCTGAGATCTGAGTTTACAGCCCTACATCGCTCGTTTTTCTAAATATCCCTTCATAACACTGTAGCATCCAGATCAAAAAATATGTTTCGCACTCGCTTTTCTCCTTCATTTTTATCACCATTATAACTTGATGGAAATCGAAAAGTATGTCAAAGTGTAGGGAGATTTTCGGAGTATGTTATTCAATCGTTTTATCTGAAGTGGAGGAAAAATTACCAACTAAATAACAAAACATCGATCGTCCCGCTCTTGCCACGCCTCCTGTCACGGCTCTCGCCTTGTCAAATAGCCAGTAAATAACGTTGCGAGAAATGTAAAACTTGATCTTATTTTCCCTACTAAACCATGTTTCCAGAAAATAAGCACATCGCTAGAATCAGAAAACCTTACACAGAAAGATAATTACTAGTAGTCTAAACGAAGAGCTCTGTTCGAAGAGATTAAAGCACAAATCAAATGACCAGAAGAGATTAAAAGATCAAAAGAGCTTTTCGAAAAGCAAACATATGTTTAAGTTTTTTGAAGCCTGTGCTATAGTCTGAGTACTAGCACTCTAAGGATGGAGCTTTGGTCCAGCGAAATATAAGCGAGATAAGAGAAAAAACACGTTGTTTTATGGAACATGATTTTATATTGAATACTACAGCGTTATAAAGGAGTGCCTTTGAAAAACCGCGACGTGGAGCTGTAGCCTCAGGTTTCAGCTTTCGAAAGGTTGCTGAAACTTCACTGAAAATTTTCTCTCCAAAGAATGAGATCGGTTTTTCATTTGTCACTCCCAATCAGCGGGAACCGAAAACTCTTTCCTACAAAAAGGCCTTCAAGCAATCGTGTATCTTATTCGATACGCGTTATCCTTTAAGGGTTTATGAACGCCTATTGATAATATATCTGAATGGCTTACCGATAGGAATGGCCACTTCCATACGACCACAGATAGTACATTCGCATTTCTTCACAGCCCCTATGATGGCGTAAAGGAGGATCACTTCATTTTGACATAAATGGACATCAAGATAAGATGATTCTCACACCTATCCCCAAATAAAGCATCTGATTTGGTGATTGTGGTCCTTTACAACATCGGCCCATTGGGAACTGAACTATCACCTACGCCGAGTTCGAATACGTGCAGTATAACGACGGGTGCACGCAGCAGCTAAACTTCTCTGTGTCCTAGACGATCTTCTTTACGATAGTGATTTCTCAGAATTGTTGATAGCTTAGTTGGTAAGGGAAAGGGTTGCAGAGTGGCACCATACTTAGATCGCTGGTTTGAATCACGCAAGAGGGATTCTCACACAAATCATGGTGAAATGGGCCATCAGTATTTCATTATCAACGCAAATCACTGAATGCATGATTTCTTTCCTGGTTGTGTAAGTGTAATGATTACATGGCAACTTCGAATCAAACAGCGTTTTTCTTCACTGCACGGAAAGCCCAAGCGCATCCGTCGATAGCTTAGTTAGTAGAGCAGCGGACTATAGAGTTGCACCTATCCTTAGGTTGCTGGCTCGAATCTGGCTCGATGGAGCGTTTTGCAGATAATGAGCAGAGAAAGCACCAAATTTTATTATCAACACAAGCCACTTGTGCAATGAGGAATTTATTATTTGGTGTGTAATTTCAGAAGGTAAGCAGCATTAGCAGTTCAGAACAACAGTTTTGTTTATTGCACTGAAACTTTGTCGTCAGCCGGCAGGTGTCGATAGAACGGAAGGGTATAGAGTTGCAGCTGTCCTTAGCTCGCTGGTTCGAATCTCACTTGGGGCATTGTTCAGAAAATAATGCTTAGACAAACCATCAATAATTCATTTCCACAGCAAGCTACTGGATGGAGGAGCACCCATCTATAAGGTGTTCAATTTCAAAAATCAAGCGGAATCAAAGATTTACTAAAGCAGTTTTGTTCAGTGCACGTTAGCCATTCCATGTCCGTCGATAACTCAGTTGCTAGAGCGGAGGACTATAGAGTTGCAGCTATCCTTAGGTCGCTGGTTCGAATCCTGCTCAACGGATGGTTTGTAAATGCTCAACAAGCAAACTACCAGGATCTCATAGTCGGAGCCGAATGAATGAACGAGTGAAGATCTTTCTGTTCCGTGCGCAATTTTGAAGATCTAACAAAATAAATCGTCCAGAACTGTATTTTAATTCACTTCATGGAATCGCTACAACTACAGTCGATAGCTCACTTGTCAGAGCGGAAAAGTGTTGAGCTGCAGTCATCCTTAGGTAGCTGATTCTGCGGAGAGCTTTGCAAATATGAGGAGAGAAGCCACAATTTACTTATCACTGGCGGAGTGAAAACTCTTCTACTGAGTGTGCAAATTAAATAAATTTGCGCAGCCTTGACAATTCAGAACAGCATTCTTGTTCGCGTTTGCTGCATGGAAACTCTGCCCCATCAGTCGGTAGCTTAGCTAGTAGAACGAAGAATTCTAGAGAGGCGGTGAAGGCTATCCCTTGGTCACTGGCTCAAATCCAGCTAAACTGTGCGTTTTGCAAATTATGAGGAGACAAGTCACAAGGAGTTCATTACCAAAGCAGTTGATTGGTGGAATGAAAAGAGATCTATTAGGTGATTAATTTAAAAGTTGGTCAAAATTAGCAGTTCAAATAAGCATTTTCGTGCATTTCACGGAAATAATTCCGCGTGCATCGATAACTCACTTAGTGGAGCAGAGAATTTAATGATTGCAGCTATCTTTGAATCGCTCTTTCAAATCCGGCTCGACGATTTGTTTTGCAAATTCTGTTCACACAAGCCACCAATATACCATTAATAGCATAAGTCACTGGTGGGATTTAACACGCATCTATGGCGTACGCAATTTGGAAAGTTGTGCATAATTAGCAACTCCGAATAGTATTTTTGTTCGCGTACACTTCACTGTAGCTCTAGAACGTTCGCCAGTAGCTCAGTCAGGAGAGCAGAGGACTGTAGTAGGCGCAGCTATCCTTAGGTCGCTGGTCCGAATTCGGCCCGACGGAGTGTTTTGTAAAATATGAGCAGACAAGGCACTAATAATTCATTGTCAACACAAGTCATTAATAAACTGAAAGCTCTTATTAGGTGTGTGTGCTTCTAGAAAATTAAGCAGTATTAACAGTTCAGAACAGAATTTTTTCTAAATGTTCGAAAATTCTGCCGCATCCGTTGATAGATCAGTTCTTCAAAAGACGCAAATTTGAAATCACCTGTTATCTCTTAACGAAAATTCAAATACCAACATCTCAGGTCTTATATTCACTTACTGAAACCCGTAAATGAGTATCCAGTGATGGTCTTGCGTCTAACTATCCATTAATATTTCAAGTTAAACCCATAAACAAATGTGTAAACGGACCAACCAATAGAACGCTATGATTTCTCATCATAATATTATCCCAGTTGGCAAAACACAATTCAGACCGTCCTGTGAAACTTAAATTATTTTTTGAATCGTCTACGTAACGTCTCTCTACACAGCGCGTATGTTCTTCGACGTTACTGCTCTTTACACTAACGAGTCGAATAACTCCGCATTGCAAGCCATCAGGGAGCTCTTCATGAAATGCCATGAAGCATTAAACATTTACTGCTGCTAAAATGTCTTCGAACTTGTGCGAAAATCCTTCTAATCCTATGCAAATGACCGTACATTTATTGAAAAGAGCGCATGAAAAAGAGAACGCTGCATCATGAATCTGTTGATACAGACAGCGAACATTTTGTCACAAATGACGTTTTCAGAGGTGCAAAGCAGTAGGATCTCCGTCGGTATGGAAAATAAGTATTGTGGAGAAAGCAGCAAGAGGAAACTCATGAAAAAATCGAAACATATTCGTAATGCCGTTCTGTTTTTCTATTTAATTCAAAGCAAATGGAGAGCTACATTTTTAGAGGTGAGATGAAATCTATGAAATAGAAATTCGATGCGAACTTCTTCTGATGAAGAACTCCTCTGCCATACCCTACCATCTCCACCGGCATAACATTACCAGTAATCGTTCTCGTATATCATACGTTTCATTTCGAGTGTTTTCTTAGGACCACACTCACATTTTAATATATATTGTAAATATTATTTGAGCCAACTATCGGGCTCTATACGTCTGCTCGGCACATGACATGTTGGCTCAAACAATAATTACGACATGCGTTTTCGTTATTTCACACTGCAATTAGGAAATTAGAATTTGACTCATTTACCTGATCGGACGATAATCCAGCCAATCTTTTGAGAGTTGACTTCATCCTTATAAACCGTATAAAACACCTAGCATCATAGCCATAGAAAGAACGGGCTACCTGCACAATGGATGACTCTTATGATTGCTTTTTGCACAAAAAATGACGATCTTCGTAATTGCCACTCAATCACCTTGTTGAATGTGCTTTGTTAACTAGCTAAGAAGATTATCAAGAACTTTGGCAAAGCTTAACCTATAAATCAATCTGGGCCTTCTAATCAATTTGCACGTGGCTACATGGACCGCATCTAAAGGCTCTTGAGAGCCGTAGATTTATACAGAAGATATCAAATAAACTCAATTTTTTTCTTCATTTCCTAAGATATGCATTTAACAGTGTGGAATCCATCGCCATCACTTCAGCAATAGTTGGCTACATAAGGACGATTCTTGTAAAAAAATACGCCTGTTGATTTATTGTATAATGACGAGAATGATCTTCACCAACCACTTATTATTCCAAAAGGTAAAGGAAGACGAGACAATACCGCCAACGTTGTTCACGCTGGTTCTATAATAGTGAAAGCACTGACTCGACTAGGGCAAGAAAGGGTTGTGCGTGTTAATGAACATTTCCTCTCCAACCTTCAACTATCCCTCGATGCCTTCCCTACGTTCTAACAGCACCGGAGAAGTAACGACAATTCTTACGAGCTCAGCAAACACGAAGAAAAATGGACACTGAATCATATCCAATAATATTGAGCAACACGCGAAACTTGAACCTCAGGCGGGAGATAAACCTGCGACTAAACACTATTGCAACTCCTGATCTGTTATAAATCTTTCTGCGATACAGGGTATCAATTCTGTATTGTCATGTCCTTTTCTGGCTGCAAATTAATCCGAGAAAGCACATTGGTGTAAGATCATGCCAGATAGATCACTAACTGAGTGTACATCGTGTGCATACCTTGAATTTTCAGCGATTATGGACGACGACGTCGAAGACGAATTTGGTGGAAGGTCACGAGCAGCGTGGGTCGCTTTTGGGTACACGACAAACGCTACTTATCAGTTTGAAGATAACAAGTTTTTTTTTATTCCACGCAGCAGTTTTTAGTTTTCTGTGCCATACAGGAGAATGCGAGCTGATATTTCAGGCACACCGAACTTCCACTAAATATATGGTGCTTATAAGCATTTCTTTTGTAAATAAACATGCGAGGTCAACACTGAGCGAGTTTTAGGCTACATCTTCGAGGAGAACACCTTCAAAACCAAATAAAACGCGTTTCTAGTGATTGAAATTGATACTCACGTAATAGAGCAGGGGGATGTGGTCGGGTGGCTAATGATACTCGTCGCAGCTTAGTTCGACTAGATAACACAGCCCTCCATCACTCTCAGGCGATCAATAAGGAGCGTTTTACGATCGATCCATTTTGACTATCTTCAGATCGTAAGAAAACGCGCTCGATCAATGTTCTACAATGATTCTGAAAAAGATGGAATATTCAAACAAGCGAGGACACTAAGTGGGTAGTGTTAGTACTGGTGTCCGCACTGTAAAGAAAATTGTGGCACGGATCAAGTAAAGTGATAAATATAGAGGAAGTCAGCTCATATGAAGAGAAGAATTGCGAAGGTAATATGAAGAGAACATTACGGTGGATTCCGAAAAAATAAACGATCTCGAGAAAACCATCAAGATGGATCATTGAGCTCACAACACGCGTCCACCAACTACACAGACGGACGGAACTCGTATTCGAATTTGTGATTCGTGACAGATGCTGGTCGATTGCTAACAGCTATGACAATTTATATGGAAGAAAGAGACACCGCCTGAGACTTGATAAATCAGAGCTTGGAGAATGGTAGAATAAGGGCTCGTTGGTGTAATACGAACGCTTTCGCTGAGAAATGCAGTAGTCGCGGTTCGGAGCTACTGCTCGTACATCACGTTCCAGTTTTGCACGTATCTCAGCACTTTCGTCAGACCAAGTTTTAACGCTCATTACACCTTATCCGTGGGCACATTATCTATCCCTTGCACCATTGAAGTCTGTGTTGACACCACTCTTTTTATGCTACAAAGCATCTTTCTGTCAGCAACCAACGGCAACGTTCTGGTTTAGGTCGATGATGCTGAGGTAATTTTCTAATGAAATGTGGATTTTTATGTTCAATATAGAAAACTTTGTTGCAAGTAAATGACAAAATATGATAGAAGAGGCATTGTTGAAGCCATCTATAGCAGAAACAACAGCAGTGCTTCTGAGCAAGACCTCGAATCTCGAGAGAAAGGGCAGATAGTCAATAAAATGAACTCTGCTTAAAAAAGGTTAAGCTTTCTCGTTAGCAGAAAGTAAAATAAAAGTCATTTCACAAAGCAAACTTAGTGAGAGAATAAGCACTTTCCAAGATATCAAATGGCTACAAAAACATGGATGAAAAAGAGAGAACGAAGTTGTGTAACGGCTGGATATATGTCCCCCTTCACAGCAATATGCTTTTCCTGTTGAAGCATAGATGATTTTTCAATACGTGGGCATTTTCTAACAATGAAACTTTCTATTGAACTCTCCTCTGCTATATTTCATCATTTAATGGCGATAATATCCCTTCGGTGATTCAGATTACCAAACAAAGTTCTATTTTTCCATTGCAAATAGTGATGATAAAGACCCCCGCGCCGCCGTTCCGCCGCACATGCGGCGTATGGTCTGATCTAATAACAGCTCAGATGTTGTCAACGTGGACATGCCCATTGATGTAGACTGATGCGTAAGATGTTTACGCCGGGCAGGGGTTCAATGTCGATACCGACTACCTTGACCAGACCGTTGACGGTTTGTTGCTGAGAGATAGATACATTGTATCGTAGAAAGAGTGGTATCAAAACAGACGTTAGTGGTACAAAGGATAGAGCACGCACTTCCGGGCAAGGTGAAATGTGGGTTCAAGCCTCATCTGACGTAAATCCTCAGTGAGTAGACCTACACCATCATATCATCCCTAAAAGAGGGTAAATAAAGAGAATTTTGTTCAGAAGTACTCTTGTAATTATTAATCAGTTTGAATCAAACACTCTTGAAACTCTGACTCTGCCTAATAGAAAGATTATCCGCTTTATTTCAGCAATTGGAGTGAAGATCGCATAATTTTGCTATCCATATTCTTATATCTCATGTGATGTCGTAATCTGGTTTGAAGTGTTGAGTACAAAATGCGAAATGATTTTGTAAAAAATAATGCCCTATCTGGTAACTTATAGAGGTTGCGAAGGATCTAATCGACAGATTTCATTTTCAATGTTTCCACATCTTAGTTGTTCAGGTATATTTCCTTCGAAGTTCAGCAACTTGAATGGAGCCCATTTCTTGTAAAGGACAAATGCTTAAAAATGCTTTGATTAAACACTTCGTGCTTTGAAGTAATTTCTAAGTATGAGGACATTTTCTAGAAAAAAAGACTATTTCTTAGTGAGTTTAAGCCATGAGTTCATCTACTATGATTACCTCTACAATGATGGTCCATTAGTGAGAACCTGGCGGGTTTGTAAATCTGAGTGACTCGAGTGGGTACCAACAACACTTCCATTTTTCCCTATTGCGTGCAAGAGTAGACCAGTGGGTCTCTTCTTTCTAGGGTTTCGCTGAGCATAATATCTTTCTTCTATGCCTTTCGTGAGGAAATCGGACTATCGGGTCGATGTTCTTCTTGTAGAGCGCTTGATATCCCGAGGAATCGAGTCGATAACGGCTCTCGTCCATCGGTTATCGTTGAAGCGCATTACGTGTCTGGACCCCACCTTATTTTTGATGTCCTGGCGTGTAGAACGGCATTTCTGATCTTCGATCGTTGACGTAGGTCGGAAGTTCTAATCCTTTCCCTCATTCACGAGATACGGGATACTCCTAGCGTTGACCTTTCGACTGCGCGTTCGATAACGTCAAGTGACCCTTCATCTTCCTTAAGTAGCGAGCAGGTTTTTCCTGCACACGTTAGGGCAGGGATAATCGTCGAGTCGAAAAGGTGGGCCACGGAGTCAGATGTTTTTTGTCCTCTTCACTACATCCTCAGTGTTCTTAAACGTTCCCCAAACCGCTCGTTTCCTCCTGCTCAACTCTGGATCTAGGTCGTTCATCATGTTGATTTCACGGCCTAGATAGACGTGACTGGAGCATTCGGAGATTTTCGTGTAGTTGAGCGTGAATGGGGCATTCAAAACTCATCTGTTCCTCATTAACATCGTTTTCGTTAGATTTAATTGAAGACCAATCTTTCCTGAGACGTTGTCGAAATCGGTAAACATTTGCTCCACTTGGCTGATGCGTGGTGTTATGAGGACGATATCATCACCAAAGCGAAGATGGTTCAATTGTCGACCATAATTTTTCACTACTATATCGTCCCATTTTAATGTTCGCATGACGTTTTGGATGGTGGCAGTAAATAATTTCGGCAAAATTGTATTGCCTTGTCGGACCATACTTCTTACGTCGATGGTGATACTGTTGTAGAATGGAAATGTTTGGTCGTAAAATGTTTATATAGCTCACGAAGGATCATTATGTACGGAGCAGGAGAGCCCTGGTTATCCAGAGCCTCCACAACCATTTCTGCTTCCACTGAATCAAAGGCTTTCCTCAGATCGATGAAAGTGAGACAGAACGGTAGTTTGCACTCTCGTGAAACTTCAATGAGTCTAGTGATTGTGTGGATGTGGTCTATGGCATTTAGTCCTTTTCGGATCCCTGCTTGTTCGTAGGGCTGTTATTCGTCCAGTGTTCTATCAATCCTGTTTACATGACTCGAGTGAAGAGTTTATAGACAACGGACAACAGGCAGATTGGGCGGTAATTGCCTATGTCGTGATGGTCTCCTTTTTTGAACAACAATGCGGTCTTGCTGTTTTCCATTGTATGGAAACTTTGCATTCTGACAGGTAGCGGATGAAGAGTCGAGCCAGGTGTTGATGAGAACTGACGGCAGGTTCTTCAGGTGTTCTGATCAAATCCTATATGGACCGGGTGTTGTTCTGTTTTTACCGACGATATAGCAAGTCGGATTTCGGAAAGGAAGATCGGTGGATCGACTGGTTTATCCTCTTTCAATGTATGTGACGGTAGGAAGACATGGCTAGCGAAGAGATCCGAGTAGTACTGGGGATGAGTTTCTCCATTTCCTTTCTGAAAGTTGTAAGGGTCAAGCCGTTGGAATGTAATCGTCTTGGTCTTAAAATTAGCGAAGCCTCGCGGGCTTTGTGAATGCTCTTCAAAGCTTCTGCAGCTTCTGCCATAACTGCTGCTAGTCTTTCTTCAAAGACTTCTTTTATCGCTTTTCTGCAGCGCTTCGCAAGTTCGGACATGAGGTTTTGGTTGCCTGCAGCTCGTGCGATTCCAAGTTGACGTATCAGCTCGAGTATCTGCGGACACAGGCGTCTTTTCGTGACCTTAGGACTCTCGGCTTTTATAGCGCTAACGTGAAGATAATCAACGAGTCGATCTTATTCTTCGTCGATGTTGTCGACAACGGTATCTTCCCAAGAGCCGACTAATGATTTGAATACATCCCAGTTTGTGGTAGTTCTGGGACTTCGTTGTTTGAATTTAGCGGCTTTCTCTCCTCTCCTCGAAAATCGGAACGTTGCGCGAAGGAGGCGATGGTCTGATCCCGTGTAGAACTTAGGAGCAACAGCGACGTCGGTCAGGCAAAACCTACGATTTACTATGATGTGATCAGTTTCGTTATGGTACTCTCCATTGGGAGACTCCCACGTCCATCGCTGAGAAAGAGGTTTTTGGAATTGCGAGTTACCATGGATGGTTTGGGTCGTTATGATAAACTCAGATAGCCTCTCACCCTGTTCATTCCATTCTAGTCCGTGGGTCCCTATGTGGCATTCTTCAGACGTTCTTATAGGTCCAATTTTCGCGTTAAAATCTCCGACAATGACCTCGAAGAATGTATAATCTTCTCTGAAGAATTTTTCGAGGTCCGTATAAAAAGCTTCGACTTTGTCTTCGTCATAACTTGATGTTGGTGCGTAAGCAACGAAGATGGTCAAAGTCGGCACAGAACCACATCGTTTCAATCGTAATCGCCCGATACGGGTTGTTAGTTGTTCAAACGAATCAATGCTCACGGTCAAATTCGATTTGACGAGGACGCCAACGCCACCGACACCTCTGCGATCGCATATTCCAAGGAACAGTTCTTCTCCGGTGTCATAGACAACGTGAAAAGGATGGCGCCTTCTCGTCTCAGCCAGGCCAATAACGTCGTACCTTATTCTTTTTGCTTGAATCAATAGATCTTCTACAGCTGATTAGTGAGCAAGGGTTCTTGCGTTGTAGGTACAGATCGTCATTATAGTCCGTTTCGATCTTGGCAGCCTAGTTCGGCCCTGAGATTTTAGCAGCCTCTCCGTACTCGTCCTACCTGGCGCTGCCGTACCTGGGGTTCTTTCGGGGTCAGGAGAATGAGGCCCATATTTGTTACTGTTTTTGGCAATTTAATACCCAACGTATAGCTTGCCAGGCTCTAAACGTGGGGGCTGGGTACTCACGAGTAGCTTGCCAGTCTCTCTCGGAGGAGCGGGAGGAGCTTATTTGTTGGAGGAGACTCCTAACCGCCTCCCATGTACTTCCCAGCCGCTTGATTACAGGCTTTTGGCCGACTTGACTCGTAGAAATAGAGTTTTCGTCAAGTCGGCGCTGCAGAAGCAGGGAGCTCGTCCCCTGAATCCACCTGCGTCTCTGTGAAGCACACGGTCGCTTTTGGTTCGCATTTTATTCCCCTATCCACCACCTGGGGACGCGCCACGTGCCCTCGCGGCTAACCGGGCGGGATCCCTCATAGAGGGAGGTGGAGAGATTATCCAGAAAGAAATATATAAGACAAAACAGGCCCCTGTGTGGCATTAGATTAACGGCTTAAAACATGTTATATCCTTAACAAAGGCCACAATCTGATCAGAATGTTTGCAGCATCTATCACCATGGTTTCCTACGGCACCCGCAGCTATGAAATCTACCACATTGCTCATTGTGGCGCGTAGCGCTTTCCGAGCTCACCGCGCGATTGTGTCGCGTGGGAAACTGTCTTGGGACATGCGGCTTGATTTTAGAACTGGACGTTGGCCGTTAGTCAGCCATTATATCTGGGTAGGTACTTATTTCTGAAACTTCGTGTTCATGGCTTGCTCAGTATCTATATTTTGGTCGTGTTCTAAAGAAACTATGGCTTTCTTAGATCAATACCACTGGTGATGAGTTTTGATCCTGAAGCTTTGCACGTTGTCATTACTTGTAAGAATTTTGCATTTTCTTCAAATTTTTAGCACAATGTGCGCACCTAAGACAAAATGAAGTAAGAACTTTGTGATCCATTCTGAATTCGATAACCAGGTAGATCGAAATTTCATACGTGGAAGAGACTCTACAGAAAATTCGTTGGGAAAAATGAATATGTAGACATGAAATATCAAAATTAGGCTCGAAAACGAATAGATATGATTCAGAACCAGCAATAAATATGCGACGTCAGCAAGTTGCATCCAAATGTTTGCAGTAAAAGCACTTCAAAGATCAATCTATTTTTCAAACAAACTTCACCTACAGCGATACTTGGACGCTCCGTCTCCATGAATTGTGTAAACCCCAGCACACCTTCTTCTTCCTCGTCTTCTCATTTCCCACTCGTTTCTTCTTCTCGCGATTGTCGTCCATGTTCGCAGTTTGACTGAAGCATGACGGTTAGCGAGAGTCTTATGCCTTGATCTGCAAGATATGGGCAGGTGCGAGTACAGCTGAATAATTCTTCTATTGAACACGTCCACCAAACGTGTAGATGGCAGTACTCGAGGGCGAATGTGTCAGTGTGAAGTCCACTATACAGTCCGTTCAGCACATTTGTCTTCTGATCTTCTTACAACATGACCAACACATCTGTGTTGCTATCGATGTATATTCCTCTGGATCAGAAAGACGAGAAAGATTTTGAAGATCTGAGCTGCGCAAGTCAACTGGGTGTTTTGAGTACAGACTGAATTTTAGAAGAAATTGTTCAAGCGCTCTGTGAGTCGTTCCCAATAGTGTTGACGTGGTCGAAGTATCAGCCCACGTCTTTGCTGCATAGCAAAGCGCTGAGAGGACTGTCAAATCAAAAGTCAAGCACGTAGGTTCAAATCCCTCCTCTAATTTGGGGCTTCTTTTAGAGACACAAATGCGGCCCACTCTGCTGCTCTCCTTCTTCTATCTACTTCCTCTTGCACGTTGTTGCCCATGCTCCGTAAGCCCTGATGGCACATGAATGAGGTGAGGTGGTCTTCGTAATAGGAGAGTCGTTCATCATTGCACCATTGATTTTTTATGATCTGGGTCTTTGTGCGATTGATGTGCAATCCGATCTTCTTTCCCACTTCGTTGGGTTCCGTGAGCAACGTCTCTGCTTCACTTGTGCCTTACGAGAATGAGACGATGTCGTCCGCGAAATGAAGCTTAGACGGGAAATTTCCGCCAATACGTATGCCCTTCTCGTCCCAATCGAGCAATTTGATAATTCACTGCAGTGCGGTAGTGAACACCTTCGGCGATACCATATCGCCTTATCGATCCCCATCTCCAATTGATATGGTAAGAGGTCGATGAAAAAGCTGTATTTTCATTAAGCAGCTCCGATAACAGTCCGATAGAGTTTTTATGCAGGACGGATCTATTTCTTGATCGGCAAGCGCTGATAGGACTGCATTTTTTTTAGACGTCATCAAATGCTTTTTCATAGCCAATCAAGGTCAGGATCAAGAATAGATGGTTTTCGCCACAGACTTCTATGACTCTCGAAACGATTTGGAGGTGGCCCATGCAGCAGATCCGTGCCGAAATTCTGCTTGCTGAAGTGGTTGTGCCTTACCCTAAGCTCGTGATCTGCTCTGCGTCGCACATTGGGTCGATGGGTCGATCACAAGCTCATAGCTCACCAAGCCATCTATCCTTCCCCGAGGTGTGAATTTGTACTATACTTGTCTGGATAAATAGCAACACTGACTCCATTCAGCGGTAGACCACCGGGAGTCATTGTAAGGGGCAGATATGCATTCAACTACCTCAAACGCAGATACTAATTGAAAACGAATTCATGGCGCATTCCTTAAGGATTGATATAAGTGGATAGTGTAAAAAGTTTCCATCCATAATGCAATATAACAAAGTCTCTTCGATTTTTATGAAAGTTAGAACTCGTATGGTATGCTGATGATTGGAAAACATCCGAGAGTAGTCGGTGAAGCGGAATTGCATTGCAATGTGCAGCATCGCGTTTGACATACAGGCTTGTTTTGTAATTGTTTTGTCACGGTTTAATCTTAAATAACTTTAGTGAAATCTCTTAATTCTAATTCTGTCTTTTACTGATGGCAAAATCCCTTCACGTGAGGAAAAATTCTGTATCATGACAGAACTACTACCCTGGGAAGATTACGTGCTCAAATCACAAGCTAAACCTCACCGACAGCGGCGTAAGCGACGGCGTGACGCCGCCCGCCTATCGGCGGTGGTCCTCAAAGGGTTAATGCAGTGTCATACTTGGACATAGGGCTCAGGATTTGCCAATGTAGGCTTCGACTAACGGTTAAGCGTAACAAAGTATCTAGAGAAATCAGTCCTCTGTACTGCAATTGTCGTGTCTGCTCCTTGGGAAGGTTGATAATCATTTTCAACATGATCTGTCGCAATCCTTATGCTTCACAGAATAGAGAACTGTCTTCAAAAGTTTATTTTCATCCTGGTAACCATTTCCACAATTTCATGTTATAAACTGCATCGAATTACAATCCTCATAGCAGCCTCTACCCTGGTCACCTGTTGTTCAGAAGCACCAAGCTTGTGACATTTCTCTTCGCCATCGTTTGAGCACAGTAAAACAGCAAACGGTCACTCTGGAACTGGAATCAAATTCGATTGTGAAGCTCAGCATGTGTAATACACTACATTTAATTTAGTCTATTTTGAAAGTTCGAAGGCATATTGCAGTTTTACTTGCAAATAGTTCCTTTTCAGTGAGAGCACAGTCTACAAATAAAATTGACATGGTTTACTCTCCAAGATCAAACCGACATATAGATTCAAAAAGTCACTAAAAAGGCCCATTAGGAATTTGATTGAATGCATACTGACAGCAAATTCTAAGCCTTTCATGAGTTTTTTATGGGAACTTATACAATGCAATGCACGTGCCTTGACAGCCTCGTCAGTCGCACGATGGCTTTCGCCTTCTTGTCCAATCCTCTTAGGGCGATCTCAACCTTCTTACATAAAGGAATCATTGACAAAGACGTTACACCATGTGTAGAGTGAAAATTCACTTCACCCACGGATAACATATCAAGCGTGCCTAGTGACATGATCAACGGACATTGCATTGAGAACAGTCGACTACTCAAGGTTGGCATTTTCGATAATCAAATAAGTAATTAATACCTTTGTATTCGGTTTTTATGTGTTATATATTTAGGTATTTGAGATCACCTGCACCACCTGTCGTCCCGTTGATCGTCGAGTGACTCGAGCGGGTACCAGCAACTCTTCCACTTTTCCCTATGGCGTGCAAGAGTAGCTCAGTGTAGGGTCCTCCTCGCTCTAGGGATTCGCTGAGAGTCATATCTTTCTTCTATCGCTTTCCGTTTTTAGACATCGTTAAAAATTATACATCCTAACAGCATATTTTAGCCTTCAATAAGGACGATTACAGGCTGTATAATCGCATTTCTTCATCACCCATATGTTGGCATAGTGACGCATCACCTCATATTGACATAACCTTTCATTTACTGGGGCATCAAGATAAGACGATTCCCCACACAATTACCTAAACAAAACATCTGACGTGAATATTTTGGACCCTTCCAACATCAGCCCATTCGAGAACTAAACTTTCATGCACGCCCAATTCGAATACGTGAGAAGGGTGCACGCAACAGCTTAACTCGTCTGTTCCATAGACGATCTTTCCTACGAGGGTTCCCTCCTCTAACTGTAGATAGCTCACCGCTGGTTCGAATCACAAATGACGGATTCTTGCACAAATCATGGGGAAACAGACTATCAGTATTTCATTATCAACTCAAATCACTGATGAAGTGAAGTCGTTGTTGCTAGATGTGTTATTGGAATGATTACATAGCAACATCCAACCAAGCAGCATTTTTCTTCATTGCACGGAAAACCTATTCGTATAAGTGGATAGCTCAGTCAGCAGAGCAGAGGACTGTAGAGTTGCAGCTATCCTTCGGTCGCTGGTTCCATTCCGGCTCGACGGAGTGTTTTGCAAATTATGAGCTGACAACATCATATCGAAGAATAAGGGATAAAGGATTCGCGGCGTTTATCAAATTTAATATCATCGTAAGTTACTAATGGAATGGGAACTGTATTACTTGGGCTGTGATTTTGAAAGATATGTAGCACTAGCAGTTTAGAATAGCATCTTCGTTCAGTGCACGGAAACTATCATCAGCCCATAGGTGTCGATAAAGCGATGGACTGTAGAGTTGCAGCTGTCCTTAGCTCATTAGTTCAAATCCCTTTCAGCAGATTGCTCTGGAAATCCTGCACCGACAGCCCAATGATTCATTACCAATGCAAGCTACTGGAAGGAAGAACACGCACCTATGGGGATAATAGTTTTAAAAAATTAAACGGATTAAGAAATTCAGAGTAGCACTTTTGTTCAGTGCACGGGAGCCTATTTGCATCTGTCGATAGCTCAGTTGGTAGAGCGGAAGACTGTAGAGTCGCAGCTATCCTTAGGTCGCTGGTTCGAATCCGGCTCGACGGAATGTTTTGCAGATTCCGTTCACTCAATGATTACTTGATATTGACATAATATGTTTTTAGCTGTTAGTTAGGTCTACATGCTAGATAGGCGCTTGCTTCGTACCCCAGGTCTCTTCACTAGCACGGTCTCTCCTTCGAGTATATCTCTTAAAGCTACACTCCTCGATGAAAGATTCGACGCCGAGTAATAAGCCGTCGCAATTCAGATAACAGTATCTTCTGACATTGCAAAGACTAGCAGTAGAGCTAGTGGCTGCTTGATCGAATGGAGAGGTCTGTTAACACAAGCCACCAATAAATTTAGTATGAACACAAGTCGCTGGCGGAAGAACACGCATCTATAATTTACATAACTTCGAAAGTTAAGCATCATTGGAAACTTTGAATAGCATTTTTGTTCATGACAATCGAAAAAACTTATCTTGATTAGCTGACGCGAGGTTGGTAGATTAGTCGTAGAAGTTCGGCTGACGTTTCGGCAACCCGCCTTCTTCAGAGCCTGGGCGTATGTAGTATTAGACTATTTGGATGATTCGAATGGTCTTATTTATATGCTGCCTAGGTCAAGTTAGAAGATCAGACGAAGAAAGGGCGCGAGATCTCGTGTGATGGTGACGCACTCGTCCTTCCGATTCATTCGGGATTTTGGGCGTTTATCAAAAATGCCTCAAGAGTCTTGCGCGTGGATGTTTTTGATTCATGCGCTAGGATTGTGACAGTAAGATCAAAATCGTTGTTGTTGTGCTTTTGTGCTCTATGTAAACCTAAAGGTTTCGCTTTATCTATTTTAGATTTACTATCTAGATGCTCTTTTATGCGGATGAAAAGTGGTCTACCCGTTTCGCCTGTATAATTTTCCCGCATGTTTTACATGTTAGTTAATAAATTGTGCCCGATCTCATACAATCTCCCTCTTTTCCATTAGGGCAGATCATTCAGTTTTTGGTGTTACAACGACCATAAAGTCTATTGCGGATCAGCTGATGGCGTAGGGTGGGAGGTGTCAATAACCACCATGGAACTTTCAAGACCGCATCTTTTTAGGCACCTTCTAACTGCGCTACTAATTTCGTTTGATATAAATGGCACTTTGAAGGTAACTTTAGTCATGTGCGGAGTATTATTCTTTCGGGACCTAATTCCATTTTTTGCATATTCCCAAGTAGCTGATGTTTTGTAGCCGTTGGAAATGGCAATTTTTTGTGCCAAGTCTAATGATTCGTTCCTTTCTTCTTCTCCTGTGCACACATTTTTAGCCGTTCGAAACTGTTTTTGATTAGCGATTTTTTCATGTGTGAAGGATGAGAGGAAAGGTGATTAACCAAGATGTTTTTGTTACTTGGTTTTCGATACCATTTTGTAGTATAGCCACTATCCAAAAGCTTTACTTGGATGTTTGAGAATGGAAGCCAGCCCCCGTTTGGACTTTCTCGGGTAAATTTGATATGCTTTGACTGTCCTTTCAAGACTTCAAAACATTTGTCCATTTCCTCTTGTGTGGAGCAGACAATGAAACAATCATCTATATACCGGCAGTAGAGCAACGGGCGGTGAACGAGAATTGGAGCTTCCACCTTATACATAAAAGCGATGGCAAGACTACGTGCCAAACGTTGACCCATGGCTAACCCTCTGAGTTGTGTAAAGTATTTTCCCGACCACCGAAAAATTGAACAACCAAGACATCGTTTTAGGAGGGTCATTAGTTGTTGAATTGCGAAGCCATACATATTTACTCTTTGTTCATTTTCAGTTAAGAGTTCGAAAATGGCTTGCATTGCAGAGTCATTTGATACGTTTGAATAGAGTGAGGTAACATCAAATGACTCCATTACGTGCGAGTTGTTTGGTTTCGCGCAACGTAGGTGATCTAGGAACATTTGGGTATTAGGTAGATGGGTTGGTATGAATTTGAGCACCTGGGTAAAAAATAAGGTTTAGAAACCACGTTATTCTATCCGTAGGTCCGCCTATACAACTGATGATAGGTCTAACCTTGTACTTTGATGGATCGGTTGACACTAGATCATCTGTAGATGTAAGTTTATGTGTTTTTATGAGAAGGTATAGGGCCGGACAAATAGGATTATTGTTCTTGAGTCGAGAGATAACTGAAGTTTCCAAACCCGCTGCACTTCCCGTGTTGACCCATTGTTTGTTTAGATTCTTACATTGGAGTTTATATTCTTTTTCAGAGGATGGGCGATAGACTGAAGACATTGAGAAGATGTTTCTCCGTTATTTCGACATCCAGCTGATTTGGAATTACTACAAATTCCCCACCTTTATCACTTACGGATAGACGGATAGTTTTTGAGCTTACGAGCTTCCTGATTTGGAACAAACCATGTTTTGGTTTGTGTGTCAGATGGGAGCTTATTTTTCTAAGCCGAAAGTGGTTGAGGATTTGCAGAACTCCGTTTGAAAAAACGCGAAATATAGGGTAGAGTTCGCTATTTGGTTTTTCTTTCTTGTAAAAAACTTGTGGGAAGGGAATGGGCGGTAGTGTCCGTGTTTGTTTTTCGTTACCTAACCCTTCTAGTCTAGCTTTGTAGCGTAGTTAATTTTGAAGTTCTTGTAGACTGCACACGATCCTGCGCAGGGTTAATTTAGAAATGGGTTGACTAGGTGCAAAACTTGGACCCAATTCTAATAATGAACGCGGATCATCCGGAAGTGTTACGCCAGCTAACACAGTGACTCTTGATCTCTCTAAAGCGCCTTGATTTTCCGATTTATCGGTGTTAAACGCGGAAATCGACGCTTTTACGCCTTGATTTTGATTGAAGGCAGTCAAACTTTCCTTTTAGATTATTTTTAATATTGCGCCGGATATCATTACAAATAGCCATAGATTCGTTCACTAATCTCTCCCGAAGGCGTTTCTCCAGATACTGAGCACAATAATGTACTTTTGACACACATTTGTTTATGTAAGAGAACATTTTGTTTTGGACGCATCTTAAAGAGATGCGCAGTAGTTGTGTTTCAATGCTCAATATTTTTGAAGAGTCCTTTGGTATGCCGCAAAAGTATAGCTTCCTAGATCTTATAAAATTAGGAATAAGTTTGTATTTTAAGCAGCGGCGAAGAAAGTAAACCTTTTGTCGCATCAAGACGATTTTTTGTCTTAATGACAATACGTCCTTAACAAGTCGAGCATAACTTGCTGGTACATATTGCAATAATTCAAAAGTTCGACTTTCTATGAACCTCGGCATAATTGATTGTTATATGACAATCGAGAAAACTTATCTTGATTAGCTGACGCGAGGTTGGTAAATTAGTCGTAGAAGTTCGGCTGACGTTTCGGCGACCCGCCTTGTTCAGAGCCTGGGCGTGTGTAGTATTAGACTATTTGAGTGATTCGAATGGTCTTTTTTATATGCTGTCTAGGTCAAGTTAGAGGATCAAACGAAGAAAGGGCGCGAGATCTCGTGTGATGGTGACGCACTCGTCCTTCCGATTCATTTCGGGATTTTGGGTGTTTATCCAAAATGCCTCAAGAGTCTTGCGCGTGGATATTCTTAATTCCTGCGCTAGAATTGTGATAGTCCCATCAAAATCGTTGTTGTTGTGTTTTTGTTCATGTTCAATGCACGGAAGCTCTAAAACATCCGTCGATAGCTCAGTTGGTAGAGCGGAGGACTGTAGAGTCGAGCTATCTTTAGGTCACTGGTTCGAATCCGGCTCGACGGAATGTTTTGCAGATTCCGTTCACACAATGATTACTTGGTATTGACATAACATGTTTTGAGCCTTTAGTTAGGTCTACATGCTAGATAGGCGCTTGCTTCGTACCCTAGGACTCTTCAGTAGCGCGGTCCCTCCGTCGAGTCGATCTCCTGAAGCTATATTCCTCGATGAAGGAGTCGACGCCGAGTAATAAGCCGTCGCAGTTCAGATAACAGTATCCCCTGACATTGCAGAGATTAGCAGTAGAGTTGTGGGTGCTTGGTCGAATGGAGAGCTGTTCATACAAACAACCAATGAATTTAGTATAAACACAAGTCGCTGGCGGAATGAGCACGCATCTATGGTTTACATAATTTCGAAAGTTAAGCATTATTGGAAACTTTGGATAGCATTTTTGTTCATGTTCACTGCACGGTATCTCTAAAACATGCGTCGATAGCTCAGTTGGTAGAGTGGAGGACTGTAGAGTCGCAGCTATCCTTAGATCGCTAGTTCAAATCCGGCTCGACGGATTTTTTTTAGCAAACTATGAGCAGACAAGGCGCCAGTAATTCATTAGCAGCACAAGTCAATGATAGAGTGTGTGTACTTCTAAAAATTAAGCAGTATTAGCAGTTCAGAACAGCATCGTTCTTCGCTGCGCAAAAATCCTGCCGCATCCGTCGACTGATCAGTTCATGAATGTCGCAAGTTCAAATCCATCTATTATCTCTTAATTAAAGTTCAAATAGCAACATGCTCAGTCTTATACTTAGTTGTTAAACCGTAAATCGGCATCCAGTGAT